TGAAACTAGTAGGAATAAATTGTGTAGTGAGTGAGTGAGTGAGTGAGTGAGTAGTATAATAGGAGATGACGCCAAAGGATGGATGGATCCAATCCATGGGGTTAATGGATATGCAGAATAAAGAGAGAATGACATAAGGATTCAGATGTGACGTGACATATTGGCCTCGATTACTTGGACTATGACATTTCAGACCTACCTATTTCTTTTTTTTTAATCCCCCAAACAATAGTAATAACTTCCAAAACACTAATCTAACAAGAAGCTACAATTATTATATCTTCAATATATACAAAGTATAGGTCAATGAAAACACTATAAGCTTAAATTTACTTAGAATGTTCCGTATGGTTTCATGTTTTGTCGTCGTCATATGGGTTAATTATTGGTTTCACACCAGTAGTAGTAGTAGCACTTAAAACAAAAAAAGTCTTAACAGGTTTTGAGATTAGTGTTGTACAGAAGAAAAGCTAGTTGAATAACAAAATCAGATTAGACAGGATATAAAAACAAAAAGAGAGAGAGAGTTAAATCAATTGTATGATTTACATTAAGAAAAAGGCCCAATGGGCTATTTTATTTTTTCTTTTAAAAATTTGCAAGCATGCGAATCGCAGAAGAAAGAAAAGAAAAGAGAGAGAGAGAGGAGAGAGGAGAGACATGCTCTGATAAGTGGTCGCTGTCTTCACTCTCTAATCTGCTGTCTGAGTAATTGGCAGTTGAATTTGCTCTCTTCTCTCTCTCTCTCTCTCTCTGCATGCAAAATCTAGTTTTAGATTTCGTGTTGGATTCTCTCTTCTCTTCTTCTTACACTTACACACCTCTCTCTTTACTTCCCCAATCTACCCTTCTCTCTCTAACGTCAACGTTATTATCTCTCTCCCTCTCTCTCTCTCTAACGTACATAATAATTATGAGTATTTGTTTTGTAATTATTTTTATTTATATTGATGAATTTTAAGATTTATTGTGATTTTTATTTATATGTATATATATAATGATTTGTCTATTATTGTGTTTCTCCTTTCTCTTTCACCATACATGCAAAATCTCCTGCATTTCTGTCTCGTTCGGGTAATTATGTGATTTTTAAGTGTGGTCCTTATTCCTCCTAATTCCTAACTTCTAAACTATTATATATTTATATTTATTTATATCCTTTTTAGAGATTTTTTTTTCTGTACGTGTGTGTGTTTTTAAGTTTCAATAACTACTCACATGTGATATAATATGTCGATATATATATAATTGGAGTTATTCATTTCAATGAATTAAGGCATTAATACATATACGCTGACATTACCAACCAAATGTTTCTGCTTTTATGGATAGTTCTATATGTTGCACTTGATTATAGATACTATATCAAACTGGTTTATTCATATCTCCGTACCCCCCAAACACAACAAAATGTGGACCATAATAAATTGGGTGAGAGAGAAGATCCTTGGTTTTGCTTTGGTTTACTTAAGATAAATTAGCTTCTGATTTAGAATTTTATAAACTGTTTTTCTTTTATTTTTATTTTTTAAAAAAAGATAAATATATATTGAGTTTTTGTTCAGTGTTCAGGAATAATCTCGTGTAGTCCTGATTGAGAACAAGAGGTCGATATACATAAACACGTGAATATTTTTTGACGACCGTACAATAAAACACTGATGTATATTGATCTTATTCAAATTCTAACGAGATTTGGCAATCCAAGATAAGGATGATATCTTTATAGATCGTACAACACAGCTAAGATGTATATGTGTACTCGGTAAAGTTATAAATTTTAATTTTAATTATTCAAGACCGATTAAACCGAAACATAACCGGAATAATCTTACAAAATTTCCTATCTAAAGTTTGTAGAGAAGAAAATAGAGTAGGGATAGAAAGATCAGTACAACGTATAGTCAGCATGGAGCCAACGAGTCGGGGGTCTCTATCTGACCTAAAGATATCTCTCTATCTACAGACTACAGCTGCTTCGCCTGTGAGTGATGAAAGATCTCATCAACGCGTTTCACGTTTGCGTTCTCTTTTGCTATTTTGGCGGTTGTTGACATTTTTTTTTTTGTTTATGTCGTTGTTTTGACTAATTGTCAAGTTTTTTTTTTAATTCAGGAAAACAAAATAAAGCAAAAACAAAAACAAAGAAAAACTGTTCTCGAAAAGACATAAATAAAAGGGAAACTAAAACAGGAGATTAAAAATGGTATATGTATGTTTTTGGTGGAATATATAATGATTACCAAAATCAAAGGAACGAGAGAGGGACCTCATCGGTGCATATATGATTTTCCCTCCTAAACAACTGCTCCCACTATCCTCTCTTTTTTTTTTTACTTCCAACCAAATCATTCTCACGAGAAAATCTGTCTCGTGATCACTTTCATGCAAAATTTATATAATCAAATCTTTTGTTTCATTTTTTTTTCTATCAAATTATTGCTGTTTTTGGTCGATAATTTTGGTGACTACAATATGTTAATGTACACACTTAATCTTATCAAGAAACAGTGATTTTTTTTTTATCCGTGAAATTAAAACATACCCAAGAAAGAACACCATGTAAGTTTAATAGACGTAATATATGATTAGAACAGCCGAAAATTTGCATAACAGAGTTTGGCAATTATGCAGTATTGCCTTCTAGTCGAAGGAAGTTTTGTTATGATATGATATCCCTCGTGGGGGAAAAAATCAAGCCTAATATGCTTATTTAAAGGATATTTAATTTTAATGCTTTAATCATCAAAACAAAAGTTCTTTGCTTTTAAAGGTTACCACCGCTTAATTCATCATTAGGAGAATATTTAACTTTGATCAAATTTTCCAAATACCCTTCTTTTACCCACACTAATATTTCACCATTTTTTATTTTTAAAAACATAGGTTGGCATTCAATAATTAACTACATGTTTCAACGTAAAACCAGACTTAACCCATATAAACTTTTCTTAGTAAAAAAATTAACGTTTCTTACAAGAATGTTATAGTTTGATTGTTGGGTTTTGGTTAATTTTTATATTTAAATTCCCTCTGCTGCGTGCTTGCAGGTATTTGACCGGCGACTATACATTGAAAGCAAAATATGCAGCAGGGATGAGTTTAGTTAGATCCCACATTCAATTTCTTTGTCTTTCTTGTTATAGTCGCGTGGGAAGATAGTAATTGCAAAATTAGATTTTGTTTTTCTTGTTCCTCAAAATTTTTGACTGGCTTGAAATTTACTATATTTCAACACTAATATTGATCAGTTTTATTAAAAAGATTAGTTCAATTTTAGAAAAAGAATTTTGCAAAATATTTAAAGTCAAAGTAATTAAAGATGGATGGGTGGTGTCTTCAGCAAAACGGCGCCGTAGAGGTGTCTTATCCTACATTACAGCTGGTTGTGGCAGACATCATAGGGCCTACGTATATTTGAGCTTTACTGTACGTAAAGCTTTAACATATCTAGTTAGTTCTCACAAAAAAGTCTGATTCCTAACATGTATATATATAAATACGAATAGATTACGTTTACGTGTATAGATAGCTTTTTCGCAAATTTCTAAACTAATCTATCAGAACAAGTGAATATCAATATTGATTTTATCGTAAACCATACATATTTAGTCGTGCATTGGGATCTAGTGCCTTTTATTTTCCCCCCCAAAACAAATTCTCCTTCGACCGGTTAAAGTATAAGCACCACATAAATATAATTTGCTGCGGAAGGTACAAACATGTCACATATATAGAGACAGCATCGTGTACACAAATAATGTTGTTACATGTATTGCAAATCAAAATATATAAATACGAGTAGCGAGTAGCGCGACCCACTTGGTTTTTGATATTTTGGACGATAACGAAATGAAAGAGATGAATTCAAAGGATACAGAGCTATATATGTCGGGTCATTTAGAGCCGTGACCAAAAGTTTCGTCGTAATTTCTACGGTCGGTCATGAGAAATTTTGGACTCTTCTTCGCTCTTTTATCAACTTCTGAATAGCTTTGTCGGATTATAGACTCGTATTCGTATCTCCCTTTTTGATTTTATTAAACAATGATACGTAAGTTCACGATAAGAAAGAGGTCTTTTTAAGTATTTTCTTTAGTTTAATATTTTGATTTTATAAATGAGTCATACACAAGGTTAAAGTTTAATGGTATCCAGTTTTTATAAAATGTTTGGAGAGTGCGTTCGAGTGTCCTACCACCACCGTACCAACTCGTATGGGTTTATTATCTAGTAGTAGGTTTTTTTCAGTGGTCTTTATAATTTAACCACTCTAGCTTATTTTTAAAAATTAAGTTAAAGAATATCGAAATTTCTGATTTTTGAAACCCAAGATCTTTGAATGCTAAAGATTCTTGAATTAATGAGTTTTATGGGTTAAAATGATAGCTGAAAAAGTTACGAATGATTGCAATAGATTGACCTATGTAAAACATATCTATAAGTACATTAAAAAAACAATCTGTGCTCAGTTGGAAAATTAATGTACGTTAGAAACAAACAGAAAACTCGTTAAATGATGAATTTAAATATGCACAATTAACCACTAATGTACTGAATTATTCACTATATTTGTTTAGGCTATTTTTTTTTTGTAAGAGATCAAGAACTTTTATATCTTACAAAAAAGAAATGTTCTCTTAGCTTGAAGATGTAATAATATTTTCCACTCGTAACCAAAGTGTGTTTTTGCTGTCATTAGTTGTAATGTAAGTATGTAACTCGTCTCTCAGAGCCATATACATAAAGTTTGAAATGTTTCCAAAGACTTTACAAAATAATATAATAATAATGTGGAAGATGGGGAATTTGTAGGGCTAAAAGCGAAAAACAAATAACAAAATTAAAATATATAAAAGAAAAGTAAAGAAACGTCTTTCTCAATAAGAACACAGATCCCAACGGATTCAAACAGCAAATTTGTGCTTTGCTCTTCATCTCTTATAATAATATCCTCTCAAAAAACCTTCTCTACTTCTATATATCCTTTTAAGCCCACACTTCCTTTGCTTCTTCCTTCTCTTCCGTTACAAAGAAAACACCAAAACTTTGAAAAAATATGTTGTGTATCCAATGATTGGGTTTTAGCTTACTACTTCGAGAGAGATTACATAAGCAAAAAAAAAAAGAAAAGAGAGAGCGTGAAGTTACATTATAGAGAAAAGAAAACCAAAAAAAAAACATGAAGTCTTTTTGTGATAATGATGATAATAATCATAGCAATACGACTAATCTGTTAGGGTTCTCATTGGCTTCGAATATGATGAAAATGGGAGGAGGAAGAGGAGGTGGAGAAGCCATTTACTCATCTACAACTTCTTCGGCTGCAACTTCTTCTTCTTCTGTTCCTCCACAACTCGTCGTTGGTGATAACAGTAACAACAACAACTATGGTGTTTGCTATGGATCTAACAACTCAACTGGTGAAATCTATTCTCACATGTCTGTGATGCCACTCAGATCTGACGGTTCTCTTTGCTTGATGGAAGCTCTCAACAGATCTTCTCACTCAACTCATCATCAAGGTTAGTATAGTACTTACTTACTACTACTAGTAATGTGAAGTGGTTTAAACTATAAGTTATGCTCTTTTGTTTTAACTTAAGTGTTTGAAGTTGTGTCTTGTTTGATGGGAACATGTTTGGTTTTAAGGATTTTTTTTTTTTTCTGGTTTTTTTTTTTTGGTTTTTAGATGCATCTCCAAAGATGGAGGATTTCTTTGGGACCCATCAGAGCAACACAAGTCACAAAGAAGCCATGGATCTTAGCTTAGATAGTTTATTCTACAACACCACTCATCACGAGCCGAACACGGCTACGAACTTTCAAGAGTTCTTTAGCTTCCCTCAAACCAGAAACCACCATGAGGAAGAAACAAGAAACTACGAGAATGACCCTGGTTTGACGCATGGAGGGTCTTTTAATGTAGGGGTATATGGGGAATTTCAACAGTCGCTGAGCTTATCCATGAGCCCTGGGTCACAGTCAAGTTGCATCACTGGCTCTCACCACCATAACCACCAAACCCAAAACCAACACCACCAAAACCACCAAAGCCAAAACCACCACCAGATCTCTGAAGCTCTTGTGGAGACAAGTGTTGGGTTCGAGACGACTACAATGGCGGCTGCGAAGAAGAAGAGGGGACAAGACGAAGTTGTAGTTGTTGGTCAGAAACAGATTGTTCATAGAAAATCTATCGACACTTTCGGACAACGAACTTCTCAATACCGAGGCGTTACAAGGTTTTTATTTTATTTTATTTTATAATAATCGTATTTTGACTTTTGTTTAGTAATGTTTTCATTTACATATTATATCCTATGGTTTTAAATCATGTGAAACAGACACAGATGGACTGGTAGATATGAAGCTCATCTATGGGACAATAGTTTCAAGAAAGAAGGCCACAGCAGAAAAGGAAGACAAGGTCTTTTAATTTAGTGCTTTTATTTTATTATCTTTAAGCTAAAGATGGAAACATTTTTCTATAGATACTGACATTGAGTTTTTTTTTGTTTTGTTTGTTTTTTTTCCTCTATGTGTGATTATGATTTGATGATGTTCATCTCAGTTTATCTTGGTAAGTACACACTTCAATCTTCATGGATTCATGATTTTTCCCCCTCAAATTTCTCGGGAAAATAATGATGGATTTTGACTGCTTTTTGTTTCTTGTTTTTTGATTACAACCTTCTTTTTTTGTAGGAGGTTATGATATGGAGGAGAAAGCTGCTCGAGCATATGATCTTGCTGCACTCAAGTACTGGGGTCCCTCTACTCACACCAATTTCTCTGTATATCATTCTTTCCCTAATTCTCCTTTTATTTCTTTTTTCGCCCTACTTTGACTTTGATGTATAATATGTTTGTTTGTTATTTCTAAAGGTGGAGAATTATCAGAAAGAGATTGATGACATGAAGAACATGACTAGACAAGAGTATGTTGCGCATTTGAGAAGGAAGAGCAGTGGTTTCTCTAGGGGTGCTTCCATCTACAGAGGAGTCACAAGGTCCTTTATGTTACATTTATATAAGCTATAGTTTATTTTGTTCATTGAAAAAATATTGACTTTGTGTGCTTCTTACAATAGACATCACCAGCATGGGAGGTGGCAAGCTCGGATTGGTAGGGTTGCTGGGAACAAAGATCTCTATCTTGGAACTTTTGGTAATATATACATGACTTGAACATTTTTATTGATAAACTCCAATATTCAAAATTACTTGTGTCTCACGGAAGCTTTTTGAATACTATCAGGAACTCAAGAAGAAGCTGCAGAAGCCTACGATGTAGCAGCAATCAAGTTCCGTGGGACAAACGCTGTGACTAACTTTGACATCACGAGGTACGATGTTGAACGTATAATGTCTAGTAACACACTTCTGTCTGGAGAGTTGGCTCGGAGGAACAACAACAGCATCGTCGTCTGCAACAATGATGACGAAACCGCTCTAAACGCTGCTGTGGACGGTGGTTCTAACAAGCAAGCGAGCAGTCCCGAGAGAGTATTGAATTTTCCGGCGATATTCGCGTTGCCTCAAGTTGGGCCGAAGATGTTCGGAGCAAACGTTGTCGGAAACATGAATCCTTGGACTTCAAACCCTAATGCTGAGCTTAAGACCGTTGCTCTCACTTTGCCTCAGATGCCGGTCTTCGCTGCTTGGGCTGATTCTTGATTGAATCTAGATGACTAACTCTGGTTTTTTTCTTGGTGTAGTTGCCAAGTGTTTCGGTTTATCTCCGGTTTTTACCCGGTTTGAATTACAATTCGGTTTAGTTTCATCGGTATAAATAGTATTGTGCTTAGGAGCGGTATATGTTTCTTTTGGGTAGTATTCATGTGAAATAGAATGAATCTCTCTATAACATATTATTTAAATGAAATCTCCTTTGCTATACCTTCGCTTCTAGTTCGTTACACTTACATTTATACACTCGATAGATAATATAGTTTTCATGACATAAGCAAAATTAAGATGCACAACACACGAAACAATGCGAACTAATATGGTAATTTACGAAACATGAACATGTAAGTAATGAGATTACGATGGGTTTGATATTTTTGGCAATTGATTAGAATGTCGATAATCTCTAATAAAGGATATGGTAAGAAACTAGGTAAAAGAGAATGTGCATGGGAGTTGAAATGACCCATATCTAATAATTAGGTTTCTGGTCACTTTAGTTTATTGTGGTGGATACAACATTGTTCTTTTAAGTACACGGAAATAATAATAAGAGTAAGATGAAAGGGGGTGGTAAAAATATGTAAATGTGTCTGTCCAATAATGCGGTATGCTTTATTGACCAAATATCATCGTCGACCCCCCACACAACAATCCAACATACCTTCACCACCTCATTTCTAAATTCTCTCCTTTTGTCTCTTTTTCACACCCCACCCGTATCAGCTTTTCCCTAAAGTTTCACCAAAAACAATTTAAATATTCCCTCCATCATATTTAGGAAATATTTTTTAAATCAATTTATCGCTTTGGAAACTTTTTAATTATGGGGCAGCAAAATTTACAGTAACCCATACGTGTGGTAAATGAAGTGAGTGAGTAGTTCAAAGTTGAAGATACCTTCGATTTTATTTAACTGTGTGTCCTTTGTCACGTGTTTTTCCAATGCGTGTGGATGGATAAAGTGAGATTGCACAAACTCGGACGCGAAAGAAGTTTATTGGGCCGTGGACGTGTATTTCACAAACAAATTTGGCCCACTCGGTCTTTGACTATTATACTCACGTGTGCAAAGGGTAGAGTTGGTTTAGGACCAGCGCCAAACGTAACCAATTGGGCCACGGTCCAAATTCCAAGTAACGTTCATCAGTTTTGTAGGGTTGGAAACAATTTAGTCCACACAGAGTCATATATACAGTTGGGGCTTTTGATATTTGCATCAACCGAATTAAATGGCACATTAATTGCTTCGAAATCTAACCTTTTTTGGCTTGTTTGTAATACTATGAAGGCAATACGCTTCCACGTCTGATTACTATTGTTGTCACATGTGGTCTCATCGATAGATTTGGTTCCATACTCCAAAACTGCATATGGTAATTAGCTTTTCACTAGAACGACACTATTAAGGTAAAATATAAATCAGAAATCAGAATCATACTCGTGCTAAGTGGTAACGTGTAGTTAAAATATATTTCCTTAAAACTTCCTAAGTTTGATGTTATATTTTAATTAGTTCTGTTGTTGTTTACTATGATTCTGTCTTTTTCACGTTTTTAATAAGCTTTAACCTTTATATTTAATATATAGGTCCTTCAACAATATGAAATATGAGAAAAAGCCACGACTTTGTTTCACAACCACAATTTTTGTTTTCCCTTTGAAATAAATACAAAATTTCATCAAAATCGTCTCAACGCCTTAGAAACCATATCAACGCGTCGTTTCGTGAAAAAAGATAAACACACAGACACACCGGTATTGGCCGCTTGGGAGCGGCGGAGGAGGAGAATGGATGCGCCGTCGATTGTCGTCGATCACTTGGTTCTGACAACGTTCCTAGCCTCTCTGTTCGCTTCTCTGTTTCTTTATCTCTTGCAGCAACGCCGCCGGAGCAGAGAGAATTTGAAACGTAGCAAGAGAGCTCAGAGCAGAATCGATGAAACCCTAACGGTGAAATCTGGTAATGGCGTCGATATTATCATTGTTGGTGCTGGTGTCGCCGGTGCTGCTCTCGCTCATACCCTCGGAAAGGTATGAACTTTTTTGGATAATGTTTAAAAGTCTCGAAATTGTTTTATCTTTTTTCGTTTATTATTATTATTGAATTGTGTATTCGAATCTTGTCGAATTGTTTAATAATTTATTTATCGTCTAGCTCTATTAAATTCTTGCAACACAAGCTATTAGGTTTGTCAATGTGGATCATCATCATCTCAAAGATGTGTTTTTTTAGTGGATAAAGTTTTCAACTTTCGTGTTAATATTTCGCATTCATGAAATCCTCGTGATTCGTATTAATTCACGGGTTAATGGGTTTTGCGTGTTGCGGTTTTGTGGTTTCTAGTTGCGTCACGAGATCAAATCTAAGCTCTTTTTGCCTTTTGTGTGTGTGTGTGGTTGTAGGAAGGAAGAAGAGTTCACGTTATAGAAAGAGACTTGAACGAACCTGATAGAATTGTTGGTGAATTGCTTCAACCAGGTGGTTACTTGAAGTTAATCGAGCTCGGACTTGAAGGTAAATTAGATCTACCAATAAAGATCATATCTTTTGTTGGATTCGTTGTTATTTGAATTGTCTGTATTGATTTGGTTACTTCTTGGTTATTGTAGATTGTGTGAAGGAGATAGATGCGCAGAGAGTTCTTGGTTATGCTCTCTTCAAAGATGGGAAACACACTAAACTCTCTTACCCTTTGGATCAGTTTGATTCGGATGTTGCGGGTCGTAGCTTTCACAATGGGAGATTTGTGCAGAGGATGCGTGAGAAAGCTTCTTCACTTCTCAAGTAAGAGTTTTGATTTTTTGATATAGCACACATCTGTTAGCTTCTTGGTGGTTATTGTTGCAGCATCTGATTTGAATTTTCTGATACGTTATTTCAGTGTTCGAATGGAGCAAGGAACAGTGACATCTTTGGTGGAAGAAAAAGGAATAATCAAAGGCGTTCAATACAAAACCAAAGATGGCCAAGAACTTAAAGCATTTGCTCCCTTGACCATTGTGTGTGATGGCTGTTTCTCCAACTTGCGTCGCTCTCTCTGCAAACCTAAGGTGTGTGACATGGTGGTTGTTGCATTTTAGGTTGTCTCTCTCTGTTTGGTTTCGGATCAGATAGATTTATCTTGTTTTGCTTTGTTGTTGATAGTCTTTTCTCATTTGTTGATCAATGACGCTCTCTAATCAGGTGGAAGTGCCATCAAATTTTGTGGGTCTCGTGCTGGAGAATTGCGTACTTCCTTTTCCGAATCATGGACACGTCGTTCTTGGCGATCCGTCACCCATTTTATTCTATCCAATCAGCAGCTCGGAAGTCCGTTGCTTGGTGGATGTACCTGGTTCAAAACTACCTTCACTCGCAAGCGGCGAAATGGCTAATTATCTCAAAACAATGGTTGCACCGCAAGTACCGCCTCAGATCCGTGATGCTTTCATTTCCGCGGTCGAGAAAGGTAACATAAGAACAATGCCGAACAGAAGCATGCCTGCCGACCCAATTCCTACACCTGGAGCTCTACTTCTAGGCGATGCGTTCAATATGCGCCATCCTCTTACTGGAGGTGGTATGACTGTCGCTTTGTCCGATATAGTTATCCTCCGCAATCTACTGAACCCGCTCACCAACTTAACCGACAAAGAATCCTTATCCAAATACATCGAATCCTTCTACACATTGCGGAAACCGGTTGCTTCAACCATCAATACCCTCGCAGGAGCTCTCTATAAAGTCTTTCTTGCATCTCCTGATGATGCGAGAAGCGAAATGCGTCGAGCGTGTTTTGATTATCTTAGCCTCGGAGGTGTATGCTCGTCTGGACCAGTGGCTTTGCTCTCGGGTTTGAACCCACGGCCTATGAGCCTTGTTCTTCATTTCTTCGCAGTTGCGATATTCGGGGTTGGTCGCTTGCTCGTACCTCTCCCTTCCGTTAAACGGTTATGGCTCGGAGCTAGACTGATCTCGGTACGTCCTCGTTTCCTTATAACCTCTTGAAATACTAATATTTATAACCAATGTGTTAAAATCTTGAATATTTGGCTTGTGTGTTATGAAACAGAGTGCTTCAGGGATTATATTTCCAATAATAAAAGCAGAAGGTGTGAGGCAAATGTTCTTCCCTCGAACTATACCTGCCATTTACAGAGCTCCTCCTCCTTCTCCTCCTCAATGATGAATCATAAACTCTGCTCATAAGATTTCTCAAGTGTAAGATTAGCTTATTTGCTGTTACGATTCGAATGAACCGGGTGGTTTGATTTGGTCTTTTACGAACTTTGGTTTGAAATGTGTAACCCATCTGTTAAAACAAAATCATCAAGTAAATAAGTATGAATTATCTTTGCTAATTGTTATAGAAACATGTGTCGTAACTCATAAACGTTCAAACGTAACTTACCAATTACATTTTTTATATTTTGTTTTGCTTTTTGCATATTGCTCCAACTCATAAGTCATAACACAAAAAAAAAAAAACTTAGCGGCCCAAGTGTCGTATACGTTGATGTTCACATTCAGATTTATTTTTCTTATCCAAAAGAAAACAAGTTCGTTTGTTGGGGCCTGTAAAGGCTGGACACTGACATTGATGGGCTGCAGCCACTGATGCATGTAATGTAACAACATCGTGAGCCCTTCACATGTGCATATGATTCAGATGGCTTTGCGTTGGCATGTTGGAATCCTTCCTTGGTGAAGTGATATTTTCTACTAGTATGAATTTGACAGTCCATTTGATCTAATCTTTCTTTACCAATAAACAAACTAGAAAATGATGTAATGTAATAATAGATAGATTTGATTTGTCAATCACATTCAGCTAAGAAACAAGAGGGAATGGGGCGATAAATGATATGAAAACAATTGAAAGGGGTCAAAAAGATGGCTTGGAGCTATTTACGTTAAGGGAGTGGAGCCACAATATTAGCCCAAATCTAAATGCCACACACACTTCTTACATTCATTGTGATGTTGAGTCTCTCAATTAGATAGCCTTCCTAGGGGCGGACTTATATTGTTTTCTTCTTATAGTTTGCGTTAAATTTGTAATCGTTTTCAAAAATTATTACTGCAAATAATCTCTTTTTCCCAAATTAAAAGATATATATTGGGTAAGACTATGTAAGTTGATTTCAGACAGAAACAAAAAAAAAAAACGAAGAACAAAGTAAAAGTTAACTTTGGTTATGTATTTTGCGTTGAAATTTACATTGAAGAAAAAATAAGACGTTAAGTTTAAAATAGATTCGAAAAAAAAAATATATATATATATGTTATACATCGGTTTCAATATGTCACTCCCATACAGAAACAAGCCCCCCCACGCACGCACAAGCACATCTTGCTTTTCTCCAACTAAATTATTTTCTCATCACACATTGCTGTACCACCATTAATATCTTTTGTTGACATTGTTCATTCTATTAAATTCTCTATGTCCCAATTTGAATATCTATCCTCTACGTACGCCAAGGTTTCCATTTTTACAATTTGATTTGTACATTGGTACATATTTACACAAATATGACAACTTTTTCCAAAGACAGTGCGGAAATATAAATGAAAGTCAATAAGTCCTACAAAATTAAATACTTGTTTTTTTACTTTATTACATATATGTGTATACAGGTTTAGTAACTCAAATTATTTTGGTCTTCATACATAACATGTATACGAGTTTTAGTAATTTTACGTATAGGCTAGCTAGGCCCGTACGTAATTTTTTCCGAATGAGAAAACACGGTTGGTGGATTTTTTATATTTTTTTTAACTAACATAACTATATAAACATAAGACTTTAATATTAGAGTTTTGACTTTAGACATGTACTTATTTCTATAATTAGGTAATATGGATAATATACGGATTTAGTTGACGACACAATATTATGTATACGTACGTACGTAACTTTCATTGACTTCGACAATATAGGTACGTATAGTCATAGACCAAAGTAAAGTATGCAACTTGTTGTTAACAACAACAACAGCACATAAGAGTGGACACATCATCAAAGCCTAATCACTACACAAACATGTAAGCTTCCAAGAAATCACGGTTTTAATTGTGAATCATTCATCATCAATTCATCATTCCGTGTACATTTTGCGTTTTTTCATTTCCTCCAACTTGTACGGAAATTAATTAACTCAACTTTAAACCTCACAAATGTTTAATTTCTTTTGGACAATATAAGATCTTAAATAATTCAAATCTTACAAGAAATCTCAAGACCTAATTAATTAAAAGCACTATATGTCATAAACAGTGACTTTTGACTTCAAACCAAAACAATGACCATTTCTATAATTCTATTCAATACTATTGTGTCACCCGAGTCAAATGTACGACATATATAATTTAGGATAACACTTTGAATTTTTTTGTCACGATGAAAGAAAGATGTATCGAGCTGGTTTTTGTTTTTAGTTAAGAAAGGAAGAAGAGACAAAAGAAGTAATGTAAAGTTGAAGGTGGATGGGTTGAAGAAGGGTCCTACGATATGGAGGAGGTGAAGCAAACTGGTCCATAGAGTGTCTCTCCTAGGAATTTTCTTGACGATCGGAGCAACGTGAACGTCACGTTAGTTGTCACTCCCATTTCTGTATTGTGTATCCAAATAGCTTACTAAAATAATACTTTGTTTTTTATATATATATACATTCGTAATACTATAAAACCCACTCCATGGAAATTCACATTCGTGCTTATTCAATTTGTAGAAATATATATATATTTGTAGACACAAAATGATATGTGACACTGTGGGACATATACGCGATTGGGCTTTCACGTGCTCATTCTCTTTCGTCCTCGATCATTTATTTCTTTAAAATTTGGATTATTCCTCACTCTCAATTATTTCTGAAAACAATTACTCGTTAATAACAATTTCTATTCAAATCGCTACACTAAACTCTAGTCTATACTCTATACTATGCAATATATAATTTCTGCAAATCAACTATTTTATAATTACACCATGGCGTTCATTTTTTTTTGTTTGGTCTCACCATCGCTTTCAAATTTTTTGACCCATTTTAACTGTAATTTTTTTTTTTTTTTTTCGTTTATCTCCTCCAATACATTATACATAATCTAACACAATCTGTAAATTGTGGAGAATGGAGATCATGTCTCCAAGGTAAATGATCTCAGTGACTACCTTTTTTAATTAATTAATTAACTAACGACTTAACGACTATGATATGCTTCGGGATTTGCAATCCTTTTGGAATTATATATCAGCTTGTCTCTTTACTTGGTGTTGTTAAGCTTAAAGGTCACAAAGTGCATCAAAGAATCAGATCAAAGCATGGTCGTGTCGGAAGATATACACATGGACCCATTTTTGTTGCATCTTAAGAAATATTAAGGACCCTATTATAATCCTTCGGTGTACCTTTTGTTAATTCTGGTCGAGCTTTTGTTATTTACTTTGCTTATGTGGAACCATTTCCCATGGTACTGAAACTTCTAACTAAAGGAAATGGAGAGAGGCTACGAGATAGTTCTTAAGAAAAATGAAACTATTGTTTGTTGGATAGGTGAAAAGGAAAACTTTGTTTGTGTTTGAAAAAATCATCTTGGAAAAGAACTATTTTTTTAACCATCATATCATACATAGTGATGTGGTATGAAAAATTAGACGGTTTCTCAAGCTGAAGAAGATTGTCTGGCAAGCTATTAATTCTAAACATATGTTTGACTAAATCGACCTATAAATCAATGATATTATCAAACTTAAACATACATATATTTGGTAATCTCGGTCGTTCAAAATCGTACAAGAGCATATCGTTCAAAATAGTCAAAAGTCTGTCGCCAAATAATTATTAAAAATCTACAAAAACACATGAACGTCAAAAAGTGAGAGAACGAAGCAACTCTGAAAATTCGTATTTGCAAAAGTTGAGAACAAGAAAATAAAATAAAAATAGAGGACTTCTCAGCAACTAGATATAGTAATTAGTGTTTACATGGTAACCAATAAAAAACAAGAAGTATTAGGCAACTATATAACTTCTCATACGTGTATTAACTATTAACCGTCTATTTATATTTTTGGAAAAGTCAGGTGACTCTGAGCTGTCTCTCATATTTTATTCCCTTTCTCTTTATATTTATATGTATATATTTTTTTATCTTACTTTTTCGTTTGTGTAAGGTTTTTTAATCTATGGAAGTAGTAGTCTTTTTCGTACAATTTTAATATATCCTTAAGAAATAGATAAACCAGAGAAACTAGGCCTACTTTTTGTTTTCTTCGATAAACTTTGATATTTTTTTCTAAAACATAGGTATTACGATCGTGAAATTCAGTAACATTCTGTACTCACACTTGAAGCTAGTGTCTTGAACTAGATAGGAATTTTTTTGGCTAATTAAATAAATGAATGGGTATGGATGAAATGTAGGATACAAAAATACATATAAACAGCAAATATAATCAAAATCAAATATTTATTTGATAATGAAGAAACTATGGGGATGAGGTGGTATAATATATTTGATGAAACATACTATAGTAAAACCTCTGTAAATTAATAATGTTGCGACCATGAAAATCTATTAATTTATAGAATTATTAATTTATCTATAAATTAATAATTATTTAATTATTCAATTATTAATTTATAGAGAGATTTTCCTAATTTGAAAGTTTTTTTAGAAAAATATTGAAAAATGAGATTTAATCATGATAATTAGTATTTTATATAATTAATTACAAAGAAAATAATAATTATTATGTCTTGAAAGAGAATGCCAACAATTTTTGATATAATAAAATATTAGAAATAAACTCTAACAAAAACTAATGTGTTTATATATACATATATTTTGAAAATTTTACCTAATTATTAATTTATAATATTATTGGATCATATATTTACAAAGGATTTTCAAAAAAAAAAATTATTTTATCAAAATATGTCTAAAATTACACTAGTCCCAACTTGGGACCGGAAAAATTTATTAATTTATAGAGATTATTAATTTATCGAGTATTAATTTATAGAGGTTTTACTGTAATTAGAATGAATAATTAGTGTCAAAAAATTATAATCCAAAAAAACTCTCACAGAAACTTGTCGAAAATATTTCTAATAGTTTATGAATTCTTATACCACTGATTTTTTATCGTCTTTATAATAGATTATATATAAAAAATAAAAATGTAATAAATAAAGGTGCTTTATAATAATCTTGAATCGGTACATATTTGGTGATCACAGTGAATGCTTATACAATGGGACACTCATTAATCAGGGAGCTATAAACTAAGGGCGCGTTTACTGGACCGGTTTAGTGATTAAGTTGTTGAACAATAATAATTGTTTTCTTCTATTCTTTTATATATTTCCATTATTATTATTTTTAGTATTTTACGAACTGGGACAATACAGTATTTTTTTCTACATAAACATAATTAATTAAGTAAAATCAATGTAAGAAAAATAATTGAATAAAAAGCAACGGCAATCGCTGAAGCCGACATGTGTTTAAAACTGAGAAACACGTTGTTAGTTAATGTGATTCGGTATCATAAGATGTATACATTTTTTCAGTTTCGGGAAATACAAATTGAGAATGAGAAATGAAAGAAAGAGTATATATATATATATGAATTTCACACCTCAAACAAAAAGTTAATTAATTTATTGGTTCGACGTCAACTGTTTTTATTTTGCCTAAAATGGATACTTAAAAGAATTAATATTTTTAAGTGAGTGGTCATCATTATGCAAAAATAAAAACACGAATTGGAGGACTACTTGGTAATGGTATGTTCCGACACGTTTCCGGCGAGAACTAACTATATATCTTACGTTCAAAGATTTCATCTTGTTCTTGTTCCCATTGGGTTTCTAAAAACGTTTTATACACGTCATCAAGCATATATGTATGGTCGTATAACTTGGTTTGATGAATTAAGTAAAATTTTATAAAAAACAAAACATATACTCTCTGTTAACTTGGTCTCATGCATGCGGTGAATGTGTAAAAAATCCACAATTTTGCGTATATATTTAGAACTTTCTTCCATTTGATATTTCTTAAATTTAACAAATTTTCTGATATTTCTTTTGTATCCCGGATTTTAATTAAAAACAAATTAAATATACATTTTTTTTTTGGGTAGGAACAAATTAAATATACATTGTAAGCAGTTATTATTAATTTACAGCTAACAAACTAACAACACTAAACGATTTTCAGAAACTTTGTAATCATATTTTTTACCAAAAACAAAAAAAAAAATTATTTTCTCATGCCAACTCATCCTTTTCACTATTGTCTAAACTCGTATAAAGAATTAATGTTGAAACTTGGAAGGACGTTAAATGTGTTGGTAATGTGTTGAGCACAGAGAGAACTATTAGCTGAGCGAGCTCAATGGAAAAAAAATTGAGCCGACACAGTTATACAACATGTTTAGATGGTGGAGTAGCGTGGTGGACCAACATTTACGTTAACACGGTCCAAAGAGTCCCCAATTGTAACAATGACAACAATTTAACGTTTTCCATTTTTTCCCTATTTTATTTTATTGCATGTATAATTTTTTTGTTAGATTTCTCTGTGGGTCGCATTATATCCCATTTATATGGAGATTTTCTGTCGGTATGGGCATCTCATTACTGTTTCTCCCTTTATAGTTTATACTACTACTCAATTACAAAAAAACAAAAAAAAATTACCAACCAAACAATAATGACAGTGATTAAGTAAATAACTTTGAACTCACGTATCCAAAACTCCGTAAGCGCGATGCAAATAAAAACTATTGAAGTTGAGCTCATTCGAGTGTGTTTTGAGGGTCGGTGTGGACGGAAACGCGTGAATTGATTAATATTCTTAATTAATTAAATACAAAATAATTCAATTAAAATCTTTAATAAATCGAATATCTGACTGGTCAAGATTTGTGTCGTGGGGGTAGCATGAACACTATATATAAACACCCACACATGCCTAGAGACCTCTCGATCGTAGCTTACCTACAAACATCACTCACAACACAACATCTTTTTTTCTCTCTCAATCTTGATTTGCATATCTATTTCCTCTCTCTCTGCTTTATTCTCCTACTCTCACATCTCTCCTCTCTCTCTCTAGAGCTAAAGAAAAATGGGTCTCCTGTCGAAGAAAGCTACTTGCAACACTCATGGCCAAGATTCTTCGTATTTTTTGGGCTGGGAAGAGTATGAGAAGAATCCTTACGACGAGATCAAGAATCCAGACGGCATTATCCAAATGGGTCTCGCAGAAAATCAGGTAATAATAATCATTAAAAAAACGCAACGTATTGTACAGTTTCGATAATGTATGGTATCAAGAATATATATCTTACGGTCTTACTTGTTTGTCTTGCAGTTATCTTTCGATCTCATTGAGTCATGGCTTGCTAAGAACCCCGACGCAGCAAATTTCCAAAGAGATGGCCAATCTATTTTTCGTGAATTAGCTCTCTTTCAAGACTATCATGGCCTTCCTTCCTTTAAGAATGTAAGATTATCCAATAGATTATGAAAGAGATCGGACATTTTTATGATCCTGTCAAACCGATAGTTTACTAAACTGGTTTGTTTTGTCTTCAATATTTTCAGGCTATGGCGGATTTCATGTCGGAAAATAGAGGAAACCGAGTTTCTTTCGATCCAAACAACCTTGTCCTCACCGCTGGTGCTACTCCGGCTAACGAAACTCTCATGTTCTGTCTCACTAATCCTGGAGATGCTTTTTTGCTCCCTACGCCATATTATCCAGGGTTAGTTAACTTTTTGTCAAACCCTTGCTTCACTCACAAGTAACACAGAAACTTACGCTAACTGAAATACTTTTATTTAATTTTCAAATGCAGATTTGATAGGGATTTGAAATGGAGAACCGGAGCTGAGATTGTACCGATCAAGTGTACGAGTGCAAACGGATTCCGCATCACTAAATCTGCACTCGAAGAGGCCTACGAGGAAGCTCAAAAGCTTAACCTAAAAGTGAAAGGAGTCCTTATAACCAACCCATCTAACCCGTTGGGTACTACAACGACCCGAACCGAACTTAACCATCTCGTGGACTTCATCTCACGTAAGAAGATTCACTTGATAAGCGACGAGATCTACTCGGGTACCGTTTTTGCTTCTCCCGGATTCATTAGCGTAATGGAAGTCCTCAAAGATAGAAGGCTCGAAAACACAGATGTTTTTAAACGTGTCCACGTCGTTTACAGTTTGTCTAAAGATCTAGGCCTACCTGGTTTTCGCGTTGGGGTGATTTACTCCAACGATGACAATGTCGTCTCAGCAGCGACAAAAATGTCCAGTTTCGGTCTAATCTCTTCTCAAACACAATACCTCTTGTCCGCATTGTTATCCGACAAAAAATTCACCAAAAACTACCTCCAAGAGAACCAGATCCGTCTCAAGAACCGACACAAGAAGCTCGTATCGGGACTAGAGGCTGCAGGCATCGAGTGTCTCAAGAGCAACGCCGGACTCTTCTGTTGGGTCGATATGAGACACCTATTGAAATCAAACACGTTCGAAGCTGAGATTGAACTATGGAAAAAGATCGTTTACGAGGTTAAGCTCAATATCTCTCCCGGTTCTTCGTGCCATTGCAACGAACCGGGTTGGTTTAGGGTTTGTTTCGCGAATATGAGCGAAGAGACATTAGAGGTTGCGTTGGATAGACTGAAGAAGTTTGTTGATGGACCGTCGTCTACTGCAAGAAGTCAAAGTGAACATCAAAGACTAAAGAATTTAAGGAAGAAGAAAGTCTCTAATTGGGTTTTCCGGCTATCGTTTCACGACCGTGAACCCGAGGAACGATAGTCTGGTCTTTTTAAATAATTAATCTGTAATAAGTATATGCTTTTTTGTCATTATTTATGGGTGATTATTCGTCAAATATAATTTTTTTTTTCTTTTTAACCAGAATTTTTTATTTTGGTATAGTTTTAAGGGAAAAAGATCACTCTGTCCGTACGTAAAAAAGGGATAATGCAGTGTGCCTTTTTATGTAGTACACAGTATAATGTATTTTTTTCACTTTATAATATGATCTTTGGAAAACTTTTACTGCATTTTTCAATATCTCTTTGTTTCAAATTTGCGTTAAAAAAGTGCTACGTACGTGTGATTTGCCGGCGACTTTTCTGGTTGAGAAGCTATAATTTGGGTCCGCTCATTAATTATTATGTAATTAATTAGAACCTACTTCTTAGCACTATAGTAGTAGACTATGTTCACATTTGTTAACCCTTTTGCACAACTAGGAGCTATTCCTTTATTACTCTTCGTTGACAAAAGGAGATAAATTGGTGCATTTAATAATTATTCTCTAATTGCTTTAATTGGTTTCGAAGTGATCGATTTCGATTAGATGACTTGTGAAGTCAACGAAACCTACCATTGAAGTCAAAAGATGAACCCAAAATTGTACACTCACAGCCACGTACACAGGTGTTGTGATCTATCTTTATTGATCGTGTAAATTCGAAATAATTTTAGATGATAAATTGTTGACCCAATAAGAAATTAAGAAAGATGAGTTTTCGTTTTATAATCTCAAAACCTAATTAGAGTTAATGTTTGGTGGCAGAAATAGGAAGACCAATCTAAACTAACTACTTTCTCTAATCAGAAACTAAATCTCTGCCACTGACATTAGAATCTTAGTATGTTTTTATATAAATTCACAGATATATAATTATTCTAACGTCATTAGCGTGTACTTTACATTGGTCATGTACTCATGTGTATATGTAATCAACATGGGTTCAATTCACATGACTGCACCTAGTTAAATGGGAAAATAATACCTGAGCAATTGGCGAAACATCTTTTTTTTTTTTTTTGATAAACATCTCAATTCTCGAGAACTCAGTTTCTAATATATTTATATATTTAAGATCAGTTTCTAATATATTAACCGTTATGGACAAACCGGTAAAATAATGCATAGAGCCAAATCAAAAGGAAATTAATATGAGGGTAGTTGTCAAATGTCAAAGAGTCATGTGGGTTTCACATGGCAAGAGAAAACAGAGAACATCTGCTAAGATTTTCTGATTGGTCAGCTCACAAATATATTTCAGCATATTATTATACTATATAAATATATATTCGACCAACCTTGTAATATATAAATAATTGTCGTATATTTCTCATTGGTGATGTGTTGCTATGTTATGTTCGTGTCGATCTACGCATCCGGGGGCCACATGACCATGGGTCTTGTTTCCTGCCACGTTGCTTCAAGTTTACTTGTTATATACGAATGTTACTGTTTCATCTTCAATATATCGGACTTTTTGTTTTGTTTTGTTTTGAATAAACAGGTACAAGAGTTATAGAGTTTTTAGTACAAGACGACAAGGGATTCCAAGCAACTACAAACAGATTGTAACTGTGTTGTCTATTTTAACCTTATTTTTCAGCAATGTAGACTGTTATGCATTGATAAAAATCAAACTAAACCCGAAATCTAAATCCACTTTTATTTATTATGTAGTACGTAAAAGAACATTAGGCAGACAAGAAATTTCATAGTCACATCTTTGTGTTGGAGACTAATGGCATTGTTTTTCTTTGTTGAATAGTATATGTTTTGATGTTTGGAACTTTGACGACAATGTCATTATGTATTTTTCTTTCTCAAAGAGCTTTAAGCTTTTTTAGGTTTCGGGATTTTCTCTACATTTTCAACAATTTAAGTAATGTATATATTTTGTATCCATATTCCAGAAAATGTTGGCATTGCATGAGGAGGATTCAAAGTTGGATATTTTTAAAACCATTCAAAGATGTTTATAATTCAAAGACAAAATGCCGAAAGCAATTCTTGTCTCCAACACAAAAGGTTACCTTTATTCGTCTTTCCAAATAAAGATTCGATCTTCTTTCTTGGTGAATATTGATGATCATTACTTTTAGGATTATCTTTTTTTTTGGTTGTTGTTGTTTGTTTATTAGGGATACAATATCCCACATTGGAAGTTGAGTAGGATCATGGTATTAGAGTCCGGTCCGCACATACTCAACCCAATCCACAATCGGCCTGCCCCATAGTTGGCCAACCAATTCATGCCCGAACATACCGAGATCTATGGTCAGAAGAGCCATCATCTCGAGGGGGCGTATTAAGGATACAATATCCTACATTGGAAGTTGAATAAGATCCTGACTAGTATATAAGATATATGGGCCTCTCCACTCATTGCCAATTGGTTTTGAGTTAGAAGCTCATAACAAACCCTAGTTTAACATTGTTCTCAACATCTACTAATTTGCCATATGTCATATCATACGTGGCATAAAAGTGTAGTATTTTCCAGTTGATCTACTTAGACGACGTAACGCTATACAGTTTTACTTAAAAGTGCATAGTGAGATATGGCCATATATATGGGTGTAGGCTCGTAAAAGATGAAATAACAGACAAACAAAGATGGGCCAATTGAGAAAATATTAAGGCGTAAAAGCCCATGTAAAATATAGCCCCAACTATGAAAAATTAGGGAGAGATTGGACTATACTATATTTCTTCTTTTGTAATAAAGACTTTACCATTAGATAAACTTCAGTGGTAATATCAACAAGTCTATATTTGTGGGTGTGACCAAGTCGATGCGCAAAGTTGCTATATGAGGAAAGAAGTAGACGAAACCACAAGCATGTGATTTTTTTATATTTGTCTTCTTTGGCGATTAAAAAAGCAAATTGGTAAGAAAATTGTAGTTGATTTGTTGGGTATACGTCCATTTCAAACATTGCATCACCACTGTTCACACTTCATGCACTTATATTACATGTATATTTCATGGGACATCATTATGTGTACTTTTGTAACAAACCCACATATATCTATATATATGAAAAGGAACAATTACAGTATAGCATTCTTCTAAACTCCAAGTTGGGTTTTGTACGAAACGAACGTGATTATTTTCCTTTTTTTTTTTGGTCAAATCCAATTGGCCAAAAGCCTAACTTATATTATGAGATACAAAAAAAAGAAAAAGAAAAAAAAAAAAAACTTATGAGATACAGTACCAAAATTAATGTCGACTTAATACTAGTTAACACAAACCGGATTAGCCCAGATATTATTAACTTCATTTTTTTTTTCGTAGATATTAATTTTTATTTAAGCGAGTTAGATTAAATGATTTTTATACTTTACTTTAGTAACAACCACATGCTCCATAAATTAGGTTACCGACAAAATAATAAATTTTACTAGGCGTAAGTGTAACGACAGTAATTAAGGACCCGGAGAAATCAAAGATTAACAAAAGAAACATTTAACAAATACTGAGTGATTAAAAGTGTGATAAGGATTTGACTTTGGTTACAATATGATGACGAGCTAAAGAACTATATAGTTCATATGAAATATTTTTAAATTTATATATTTATGTCTAAGATCCAACGACTCCCAAATAAAGTTGAAAACAATGTGTTGACTTTGGCGATATATATTAATCACACTATTGTTTCACAAACAGATTGATCAAAGTCTCCTTCGTTCGTTTGTGGTCAACTGCTTTTTGACTTTTTGGTATATATAGTTTCTAATGGTTTCCTACTCACTACTTACTACATACGCTAAATAATACTAGTAATATAGTATAATTAGGCTCCATATGAGTATATATTTATAACGAATAATTGGAAAACAATACAAAATATATCATATATGCTAAGCTCGTTCTTCTTCGCATCCATTAATTATTTTATAATTTATACCTTTGACGTTCAAAGAGTGGTTGGTTATTTTAGGCCTGCACCTGTGACGATTAGAGAATTGAACACTGACTAACCCAAATCTGAACTTTTTTAAAAAAAAAGCTGTTGAAGATCAGCATAGTAAGTGATGACAAAAAAAAGATCAGCATAGTAAGTAAATGTCGACTATCTAGTCATTAAATTCTTTCCTACAAAATAATTTTAAGGTAGCATCCAAATTCGATATTATTCTAAATGTTATAAATAAATCTAAGAAACTTTGAACTAAACTTTTGCAAATTTGATGGATCTAGTAATTATAACTCCAAAGATGTTCAATTTTGAGAAACCGTAGAAACATCAAGTCCATAGGATTCCCATTCTTTCAGCATCACCTTGATTTCTTTATTACGGCTCACGAGAGCATAAAGGCACTTTTCGCTTAAATAAATGACCAATGATATAAATTATATAATAAGTGTGTGTGAAACTAAATGATGACAAAAAAAAAAACTAAACAGTAAAATAAATAAATATAATAAAACGATATCATTTATTCAAAGCAATAAACTTTGTGTAGTACATTTCTAGGGTTTTGGTTCTTTTACGCCTTCAATATTTTAGAGATAATAACACACACGCACAAAAAAAAAAGAACTTGATCCAACCTAAGTTCGTTGACATCATATTTGTATCTAATAAAGATCTAACTAATCAAAATCATCTACTCATTATCGTATAGAGGATAGTTATCAATGAAGGAGCTAATATCATGATCCAACACGTTGTTGTACAGCATCTCGTTTCCATGTAGCCCAATTGCTCTTGTTTCGTCGTTGTTGGCTATCTCGTTGAATAGTTCGGCTTGGAGATTCTCAAACCCGGTCATAAAGAACATATCTTGTTGCTCACTTTGATTGGTGGAGTAGTTTGACATCTGCAAAGAGGAATTAATACCGGTGCTACTACTACTACTACTCATGGAGTTCAGTGATGGGGATGAATCATGATGGTAAGATGAAGGAGCTGCATCATGATGGTCAATATCAAACAAAACCGTGTTTGGTTCCCAAGAGAATGATTCCAATATCGGATTCTTGATCATGCTTTGTTCTTCCATGGTAAAGGATGTTGTTGATGGATCCACCAGTACCTGATCATATAATGTTTGGTTCGCTTTAGTGTTCTCGTCATGACATATTGGGATCTGGTCTTGACGTGATGATAATGTTGTTCCATGCTCGAGTTTGACATTGAGTTGTTGATGAAATGCTTTTCCTTGCTTGCTCAATAGCTTCTTCTTCAGCCTCGTGTTCCAATAGTTTTTTATATCGTTGTCTGTTCTTCCCGGTAATTGTGAAGCAATAATAGACCACCTTCATCAACAAAATTTCATAAACAAAAACCAATTATTATTGTTTTATATTTTTTTCAAAATGAATATACACCAGTGATTGATGCATCGTTGTAAATTAATGAAATTGAGATAATAAACCTGCTGCCAATGGTAATGTAAAGGCTGCAGATGATGTAATCTTCTTCATCGGTGAAGCCTCCATGCTTCAAGTTAGGCCTCAAGTAATTAAGCCATCTCAAACGACAACTCTTCCCGCACCTCTTAATACCTTTCAACAATAAAGTAAAATTGTTAGTATTACATGTCACAACTATGATGAGTTTTATCAACAAGCAAAAAAAAAAAAAAACTGAAATAATGGATACCAATTCTCTGAGGAAGGGAAATCCAATTGTTGCCGGTGCCGTGCTTTTCGATATAAGACTTAAGAACGGCGTCTTCCTCCGGCGACCATGGCCCTTTTTTCACCGCGGTCTTGTCGCAGCACGGTGCTCTTCCCATTTTTCTTATTGATCTTGTTTCCTCTTTCACTTTTAAATTGTTGGATATAGATTGTTTATTTTGCTCTTCCTCTAGTTCTTGTTCTCTAGGTTTTTATCTTCTGTAGTGTCTCTCTGTCTATATGTTATATATATGAGAGACTTGGCTTAGAGAACAATGATGACAAGTGGGTTTCCGTATATGGTGAGAAAAAGGCCATGGTATCAGTCGAAGAATCAGTCTCCTACCTTTCAAATAAATGTGAATATGACTTCTAAGACATATTTTAATGATGCAAAATTTACAACTGTAATAATATTTTAGAAATCTATATTTTAGAAATGATTTTATTGTTTGTCCGATCCGTGTGGTTCAGCTTATATATGTGATAACTAAAAATTATTATATATATATATATATATATATATATAATAGAAATTTTAATGTAATGTAATTCATTTTTTAATATTTCACCACCTCCAGGCTCCAGTTATATATAACGTCTAGTAATTTTAATAATCTTCATCTATATATTTTGAACTTTTTATATATATATATATATATATATATATATTTCATTGTGTAATTATGGATTATGTATTAAACCATCAAAATCTTCTAGATGGAAAAGCATATGGCTGACTTGACCTGAGAGACTGATCAGACCCAGAGAATTAGTCCTGAAGTTTTGAAAATAAAAAGAAAATTACATTCTTTCTTTATTCCTCAGTTTACCAAAAAAAAAAAAAAAAATACAGGTTTACAAGAAAAAGTAACGACGATCACATAGACAAAAAAGAAAGGTTTTAAAGAAAACACCTTTTTCAACACGCTAACGAGGAATCGGTCTTCTTGGTACGACGAGTACTAGTATTTTAACGTCAGTTTAAATTTATATGATATGCTTTGAGTTATGTTTTAAACCCCCAAAAAGAGTGTATATAATTATACAAATAAAAATATATTCTTTTAGTAACTGTTAAAAAAAACAAATTAAAATTCCAACAAATATAAAAATCGAAATAATTTATCTATTTGATGATAATTAATGTCTACTCTCGACTCAACGTATGGAAACGAATAAGACAAATAAGCAGGTTATATAACTTTTGAATTGTTGACTTCATTATTTAAAGTCTTTTTACTAGTCCACGAGTAATTCCTTGGATAAGGTCTTTAAGAACACCAAATCTTTACTTTTTATATCGATTGATAAACAATTGTTCGTTGATTTTTCTTCATTCTGAAAGGAAATCAAGACTGATTAAGTGGATAACCGTTATGTACATATCAAATCCTCTTCGTACTGAAAGAGAAAAAAAAACACTTAAAAAAAAACCTATTGATATTCAATAACACACATGATACCATTTTCAGAAATTTAGTGTAGATTGAGAAATATATTGTCTTTTTGTGATTAAAAACAAGATATAACAACATACAAGACCTACTCACCAGGAAACATAATAAACTCTCTAAAAATTAGCTATTGAAAAAGCCTTTAAACCACGGTCTATCTATAAGCCAAGCCCATTAATTATTAATATACGCCGGTCCATTTCTTGAGCCCAAAAAGGCGATAGACTGGATAAAGCAATTTTAATAGTTGCCATACTCTGCTCTGTTGGCCCAACAATGTTACAGAGAATAAGACTACAAAATATTCATAACGAATAATTCGATATGCCATATTATACATAGGAAATTCAATGCACCAACACCAATTTAATACATATACGCAAATATGTATGATGAATTATCCTCATTTCCATATTTATAACAATTTTAGTTTTCATTTTCTTTATATTCTTCGATTTATATCTTGCTACACGATCACTCCATTTAAAAGACAATAATACTATTTCCAAAAATGAAACCCATAATTAATTATGCTTCTCTCTCTCGCTCCCTTATATATATAAGATAGTTTTTGTCTTATCTTCAAATCACTCACAATCTTTTAACTCTCGCTAAAAAAAACCTAATCTTCTTTTTTTCACTTCTTTGAGATGGTTGAAATGACTATGAATCTCGAGAAGAGGATTGATGAAGTTGACGTGACGGTGATGCCTGAAGGTGGGAAAAGGGCTTACGTCACGTTCCTCGCCGGAAACAAAGACTACTGGATGGGTGTGGTTGGTCTAGCCAAAGGACTTCGTAAGGTGAAATCGGCTTATCCTCTAGTTGTGGCGATTCTCCCTGACGTGCCTGAAGAGCATCGTCAAATCTTGGTGGCTCAGGGATGCATTATCCGTGAGATCGAACCGGTTCATCCTCCGGATAACAAAGTTGGTTATTCCATGGCGTATTACGTTATCAACTACTCCAAGCTTCGTATTTGGGAGGTACAAATCTTACTAATTATATATGTATATTTCTGTTTTAAAACATGAAAATACCTATATATAACTAACGACTTGTAAACATATACTATGTGCAGTTTGTTGAGTATGAGAAGATGATATATCTAGATGGAGATATTCAAGTGTTTAGTAACATCGATCATCTGTTCGATACTCCTCGTGGGTACTTGTATGCTGTCAAAGATTGTTTTTGTGAGGTGTCTTGGTCCAAAACTCCTCAATACAAGATCGGTTACTGCCAACAGTCGCCTGAAAAGGTGACTTGGCCTGTCGAAAGCCTCGGCTCTCCACCGCCGATGTATTTCAATGCTGGTATGTTGGTTTTTGAACCAAATCTCATTACCTATGAGGATCTTCTTCGGGTTGTTCAACTCACTACTCCAACTTATTTTGCTGAACAGGTTCGATTTTTTTTTTTCCTTTTTTAATTATTTGATTTGAGTTTTTATGTAGTAACGACTCTAATATTATTGTTTATTTTTTTTGTAGGATTTCCTGAACATGTACTTCAGAGACATTTACAAACCAATCCCTTCGACCTACAACCTCGTATTGGCTATGCTATGGCGTCATCCGGAACACATTGACCTTGATCAAATCAGTGTTGTTCATTATTGTGCTAATGTACGTTTTATTTTTTTATTTTACCTTTATTCTTAGTATATGTAAAAATATATACCTAGTTACTAAATTTTTATGTTTCTAATCAATTTTGTAGGGTTCAAAGCCTTGGAAATACGATGAGGCTGAAGAACATATGGAACGAGAAGACATAAAAATGTTGGTGAACAAATGGTGGGAGATTTATGAAGATTCGAGTTTAGACTACAAGAACTATGCCGAGAGTGAGTTGAAGCTGAATCCGATCACTGCACCATTGGCTTCCAAGGAATCTGTTGGGGATGTCCTTATGAAACGTGCCCCCTCTGCCGCATAACCAAATCTTTTGACTTGGTGACTATATCTATGCAACTTTTGTTTTTCTTTCCTTTTTTTGTTGGTTTAGTGAAAGGTATATAATTTTATCATAATTATATAGCAACCTCGTTTGTGTTTTGTGTTTGGGAGATTAGAGCGTTTGGTCTTGTGTTTTGTATGACTATTTTGTCAACGTCGACTTTGACCACCCTTTATCTCTTTTTTTATTTTATTTTTTATAATCAATAATAAAAAAATTCTTTAAGTTTCCATTCTCTTCTATTCATTCACTTTTTCTTTTTTTTTTTCTTTTTGCAAAAACAACATTATATATATTATTATTAACTGGAAAAATAAGTTTTGTATACATCGATGGTATAGTCGATGAGTTAATTTAATATTTCCATTTTTAGTACAATAAAATATCACTATTAATGACATGGATCAAATTAATAATCAAACAGGGAAATCGAGATTATACGGTAGAGATTGTTGCAACTTTTATGCCTTTAAGGGATTTTTTTTTTCTAAAGCTTATGCATGCAGATATTAGTATAGAAGGAAAAGGTTATAATTGAAAACAATATGATCTTAATGACATCTCATTTTTATTAATTACATACAAGTTGGAATCTTTCCGATTCTGAAACTATTCGATCCCTACGAATATGGTAATAAAATAATAATAGCTATGAGATCATTCATATCTAATTTAAGGATCCGTAAAATATTAATGAGTCGCGCTCCTTCTCCATTATCCAAATGTTAAAATTTATATGGAAATTATAAAATCTCATAATATCAGCGTATTAATGGGTAATTATATAATGGATCAAATTTGAGATTTTATATTATACCTGCTTACCTGGGCTACATTTATACACATGGGCCTCGTAATACGGCCTTTAGCAAGTGAAGTAATTACAAGTCCATAACTTTAGTGAAGAAATAAAATTATTTCAGCAGCATAGAATAATACTAATATATACTGTACAATAAAAAAAACAACTATGATAGTGACGGTTATTTATTTCTAACGGATGAGAAAATCAACGTCACGCGAGTCAGTCAGGACCCCCCAGATATCTTCGAGATCTTTCGTTGGCGAAAAGACAAAACTGCACTTAATGTTACTTTCTGAAGTATGGTCCTAGTTCATCTCGGGGGCAATGTTGTCATCTTACTTACATGCTATCGTATAGTTTTCCTAATCATCATCATCATCAGATATTGCTTTATCTGATGAGTTTTTGTCTTTGTTTCATTTTCTTTTTAAGTTTAATAATCACACTAACGCAGATATATGTAATTATAACCACGTATCAAAACTAATTTAAAAAACGTTTCAGAGTGTTATTTATACAACAATAAGTTGACTACAAGTCTACGATTTTTTTTTTTTTTTATCTTCAAATCATATGAAATTATTTCGGCAAACAAACTATAAAACACTTAAGTATATTTTTTTCATAAAATAATCGATTTCATGAGAAAGTTGTTTAATCATATATGAATATGAGGGGACCTAAGACTTGACAAACAAAATGAAAATTGTGATACCTAACTAAAATGGTAAGACTTCACAATGATGATAATAGAGTATTACAAGGACGAAGACACGAAGAGACACACCGACTTTATTTGGCCGACTCAATTGCGAAAAGAAAGGTCATCGTTTCTCTCTCTCTCTCTCTCTTTCCTCGCTTTTTCACTTATAAACTTTTGTCACACAAACCACAC